TTTGTTTCCTAAAAATATCCTTAAAAACTTTGTAAATTATCCGCGGCAACGAAGACAAAAATATGATCTTGTTTCTCTTTATAGATGTAAAATGCGACGTATATAATTATCTGCTTAATTTCCTTAATAATGATTTTTACTTTACAACAAAGCCAAAACTTGATCACAAACGAAAGTTAGGTAAATTTTTCACTATTAAGCAAATAAGAATACAGTTATAATATTTAAATATGTGATACTACGCAAGTATACGTATCGTTATCGAGTAATATAAAACCTTTTGATTAAGCCCCGAAAATCGAACCCACAGGGATAACGTACAATATGCAACATACAAAACAGGAGAAATTAGATAACAAAATTTTACTAAACAAAGTATTCTTACTTAAACTCTAGATGCAATAATAAGAATGAAAATTTGATTTTTTTTATTTTTGATAATTGAAAATAAAATAAACAACTAATTAACTTAATTAAATACTTGTAATATGAAGGCAATATAAATAATATATATATTTCCTTATCATGAATCAGTAACAAGTATAGGAATTCTGTTGTGGAAGTATTCTAATTATGTTGTGTCAGATAGGAGCAATAATATTTTTTATCTTTACTAGAGATGTTATAAAGAATATTGGCTAATTTATAGTTTGAATAATTTTGAAGTCAGGTTAGGTAGGGATGATACTAGCTCCACTCTAGAGTTTCCTCTAGCCCCACCACCTATGGGCTAACATCTCATATCAGAACCTAAAACAATAAATCAAATTTGGGGTTTTAGTTTGTCACTCTAAAATCATTTTATTCTATACCCTTCAAATTTTATTTCTCTATTTTTTTGCATTTAACCCCATGAACTATATTCTCATCCATGAAATCAAATGGGATTCTTATCATTTGTTGTTTGAGACAATTTCATCTCGGATCTTACATGTTCTCACAACAGATATTAATATCCTAATTGGTTAAATCAAGAAGTAAATGAAGTGTAAGGTTTAAAATCATCACAACATCTTCCAACATTAAAATCTAATATTTCACACAATTTCCTTATAATACCTAGTCACTAATCATTTTAAGGAAAAACATAAGGAAAACTACTCAGAATTTATGGAAAAAACACAATCACACTTGAGTTTAAAAATAGAAATCATGCACACAAGCAAGTCTAAATTAAAATCAAATGTAGACACAAAGATAAACACTTATCTCAAATACTCTCCATCAAATGTCTTGAAGTTTCTTTGAATTATTTTCCTTCACTCACGATATAAACTAAAACTCAAAATTAAAAAAAATGTGGTTGGTCGAGGCGCCGACGATAAGCGGCAGTGCCGACGGTTACTTTGGATGGATGGATGGATGATTAGTTGGCCTCTTCCTTTAATGATCCAAGTCTTTTTTAATAAAAATCTAAAGGGTGTCTTGGTGTCTCTTCAAAACGTCTTCATTCAATGAATTTTCTGAAGTTGCCTCCTTTCAAAAGTAATTGAATGAATTTTTGTGTCCATTAATTGTTTCCGACGTTTTTAGCAATGGTTGCTTCAAACACCTCTTCAAAAATATAAATAAATTCAATAATCATCAAATAATTACTTCCAGCGCTTAGGCGCGACTCTCTCTGATTAACTGGCGCGTAAGCGCCAGTCTTGGGCGCTTAAAGGCCTTAGTTTAGTTTTGCACATTCTTCATTTTTATTTTAAATTTGATCATTTTTTACTTTTTTTAATTTTTTTATCCATTTGATTGTACCTGAAAAAAACACAAATATCTTTCATTAAAGTGCAATATCTCAAGAATAAATACAAAAATGTGTACAAAAAGATTATATATTTTAAGTGTATCACATACCCAGTTGTAGGGCCTCTACGTCCTCGGCACGCCTGTCTTCGGGTCACCGTCTCCAAGGCACACGCATTTGTCGGGCCACTGCCTCATCGGCACGGTCGTCCTGCTAGTCACTGTTTCTACGACACACCCATTCGTCAGACCCCTACCTCCTCGACACGCTCGTCCTTCGGGCCACTGTGTCCACGGCACATTCGTCCTTCTGGTCACTATCTCCACAGCAAGTCCACTTGTCGTGACCCTGTCTCGACTTGTCCATCTTTTCGGGTCTCTGCCTCCAGAGCAAACCCATCTGTCGGGTCATCACTTCCACGACATACCATTTGTTTTGCATGACTGTTTGTATTTGCATTTACATGCTTGCATAGATAAGGAGTCAGACTCGATAGGAGAGTGACTCCCGTGTCGGTCATGATGTCTTAATATTGCTTGCTGAATTGAGTCCGACAAATAATGCGAGTTAAGTCATCAAAATTGACACGAGTATGATTGTGCTAAGAATCCAATGAACTTAACTCGTGTCACCTTGCATGTTACGGGCCCGCATTTAATGACCCTTATTTTAAAAACTAAAAATTAAATATAATTTTCTGCTTATTATTACAATCGTCATGATTTAAAAATTATGCATGTAGCAAACTAAGTTGTATATAAGACCAACTCTTTCAAAATCCACCTTGGTTAACACCCTTTGAATCCCTTGGATCTTTATGGCGGGGGGGGGGAGGCCCCGCCAAAGTCATAATTTACCCAGAGACTGACTCATCACTTAGATGTTGGTTAGGACACTTTCGCGTTAGATGGTGTGCTAGGCTATGATTTAGGATGTCATGTAGTCCTTTTTTATGCCTCTGGATTTTGTTCTGTGACGTATTTTTTGCTAGTGCTATCCACGCGTCACCTTTTTTGCAGTTTTTTTTTTTTTTTGTCTGCATGTTGCATATGCATTGTAGTGTGTTAGGACGTTCTTCTGCAGTGAATTGTGTCTACTTATATGCACAAACACAGGTACCGCTATGGGGGAGCATGTAATAATTTCCGACCCTTTTGCTTGTAGGTACTATTTGGCTCCCTCGCTTATAAGGCACGGCTAATTATGTGTTGCATAGTTGTTCCCACTGACACAAGTTTTCATTCACGTCGAGTCCTTTTTTTCGAGTTTTTCTATGTACTTTTTAAGTAGTAGGAGAGTCATGTAGCAAAAATAGGATACGGGCACGGGTTCCGAGGCGTTTGGCGTTGAAACCACGCTGAGGGGGCCAGGAGAAAATACTTGTGTACCGTATCTTGATTTTGTATTTGATATTGATGTATAGAATTAGGACCAGACATATATATGCGGAGTCCGACCACTCTTTTTTCCTTTCTGTAATATGTTGTCGACCCAGCGACACCGATCTGTTTATTATTTTATTTGGTTTGTTTTACTTTATACATTTGCATTTGCATATCTGCATGCTTGAATTATTTTCATTGTTTATTTATGTACATTTGAGATTCCACGAAAAATATAATTTATGCTCATCAAAGACACTGGAATTATAAATTTTCTACTTAAAAAAAACTTACTAAGAGATTCAAGATAAATAAAAATTTAAGTTTAAAATATTCAGATTTTTCAAAACCTGCTTTTACTTTCCTGCAAGGCCTTTGGGCCGGTTTTAAAATGGGTTACATGCATGGCTATCACCCAAATTATATTAATAGGGCATCAACAATAATTAAAGACCGTTCTAGATAATTGCATTCATATTGCATTTCTCAAGGAAGAGTCCCCGTACTTCTCCAATCTGACTGGTTCGGCATAGATTTCTACTTAAGTTGTTGTCTAACACGCTTAAGGTGTTAGGAGACTCCCCGACCCAGACGGGATGTAAGTCATCTTTTTCGAAGTGTTTCCAGCTTTACAGTTGAACATCCAGCTCTTTTTATTTACGGAGGCATCCTTGTCACTTAAGCGGATATAAGTCCCACATCTTGAAACTCCAACTAATAGTCATTGGATAGAATTTCCTTCCTTTGACCTTAGGGCTACCGAGGTTTCCGTGGACGACGCAATTCACGGTTTGTTGACCGGGGATCTCAGGACGTGTTGGGTCGACTACATTCATGACCAGGTAGGCTCAGGGTCTTAGTAGTTTCGGATGACGGGTCTATCGTACCCTGGCTCGGCTACCTCTACCTCTTAGAAATTACTCTTCCCTTTCATTTAACTACTCCTGTTGAGCCCTTTTGCTCATGTTGACTTCATTGGTATCATCTTGACGGTCCGATGTCGATGAGTTGCAGCCCGTTTGACATACAACGATTTGTCATCTGCCCTAACAACCAGATGTGCTTTGACAAATTGGGTGTGCCCCCGTCGAGATGATTATTGGTTATTCCGTGGGTATCATATGTCGATAAGCCGCTACCTGCTTGGGATGTGAGAGAGTCACTCTCTATCCAATGGCTTAGTTAAAGCTTTGAAGCATATGGGTGTTCCCGCACGGAATAACCTCCCTTTGATAACCTATTTCTCAGGTCTACAATAATACGGGTGAAATACCTTTTATCGAGAGTATTTTGGGTATTCCCCAAGATGTAATTAACCAAGTACGACAAGTCTCTTTGAAAGTACTTTTGACCCAAGAACAGGCATCTACCTGAATCTCTGGTCATGGGTAGCATACGCATGTATTCTTTCGCGGATATTGGTCCAAGATGTCTCTGCCAACCTTGTTTAGGTGGACATACTTGACTTATACTTGCGAGGTTTAGCACACATAGGCTCTCATAGTTTTATTTTTTGCTTGTCTGCCATATTTGTCATATATCCATCTTTTCCGATTATTTTCTTCTCTGAATCATTCATATGACTCGGAAGATAGATTTATTCGGAGAAGGGAAGTATACGACGATCGACAGGCTGACAATTTCTTCAAAAATAAAAGAGAAAAAAAATAACAGAAGCAACCACTTTGCCTATGTATGAAAATGAGTATTTTACTATTTTGAAATTAAAATGTCGGTATTTTTTATATGATATGAAAATCTTAGGTGGTATAAATATAAAAAGCAAAATTTAGGTGCTAGATATGTAAATACACAAGAATTTGGTGGTATGCATGCAAATGGCATAAACAAATAAAGAAGGATGGACGGATACTCACTTGTAAGGAAGTTTAAAGCACTTCTCTGGAGGAACATTGTTCTCCTGATCCATTGCATTCGCAAAATCTGCAAACTCTTTAAGGCATGTCAGGAATAGTGTCATTGCTTTATCGTAGCGAGTGCTCCAAAACAAATTTACAGGACCAAACCTGGAAAGAGAATAGATGAAAACTCTTCAGATTAAGAAAGGAAATAAACAAGTGCCATATTTTTTTTTACTTCATTAAAAGTTGAGGGGCATTTACATACATACCACACCATCCTTATGTATTTACATCTCAACAATCATGTTTACATGCATATCATTCAAGTCTTTAACATCACATCAAAAATATCACAATTGATATATGTTAAGAAGTTTGATACATCTATTCATGCACAGATTCATGGCACCAAGGTGTTATAAGTGTAAATATCAAACTTTGGATTTTAGATATGTAAAAACACAAGAATTGTGTGGTATGCATGTAAATTTCCGAAAATTTAAACATGTGTTGTTGTTGCTTCCCTCAACACCCCCCCTGATGAATACTCTTCAGATTAAAAAAGGAAATAAACAAATGTTATGTTGTTGTTGCTTCGTTCATTAAAAGTTATGGGGCATTTAGGTACATACCACACAATCATTCAACTCCTTAACATTACATCAAAAATATCACAATTACCCGCTTTTTAAAAGTGTAATACATCTACTCATACATAGATTTATGACAACAAAGTGTTGTAAGTATAATATCACACTTTGGGTGTTCGATATGTAAATACATAAGAATTGTGTGGCATGTATGTAAATCTCCCAAAATTTAAACATGTGTTGTTGTGGCTTCCCCCAAAAACGCCCCCACCCCAACAAAATAAGATATAACTTAAAAGTTTAACAAATATAAACTTTTAACAAAAGCTACTTGTCATAAATAGTTGCTAACCACTAATAAGGAAAAACTCACAAACAAAAGGTTTATATAACATAGCACTCATTGTGACACAAGCATTTACAGGAACTTCTCATATTTGCAGTTTTGTTATTTTGCCTATATGCCCTGCTAGATGCATGCCGCTACACTTAAAAGTTCTTTAATCCCTGAAAGCGGGTAAAACTAATTGTAGTAAAATTTGCAGTCCCATACTACAAATTCCGAAGATTAGTTACCCAAATAAAAAGTATAACCTCAGCAATTGGCTTTTGAAAGGCTTTGCAATACAGATTATTAAATTTAAAAAAAAAAAACTTACAGTTCGTATGTGTTGTTGTTGCTGTCAACTACACGAGGATAACTTCCCATTGGAATAATTTTGATTCCATATCTAATAAAAGATGTAATCTATAAACAGCATCACATATTTTCCATTACTTTGCAGAATTTAGGCAAAATTTGCATAAGAAAATAAAAGAAATAAAGCCAAAGCTAAAAACAAAAAAATCAGGTACAAAAGTTATCAGAATTCTAGGATACTGAAATTTTGGCCGAAAATAGTGAGCCATTGTGTGAAGCAGTAGGCATGCCTGACCCCAAGCAGCATTTATTTCATCCCACTCAACCTGGTCAGACAATATTATCCACAATAAATGCATAGCTATCAAACACCACATCAAGCACGCATAGAATACAATGCAAAAACACACGAACATTCTTGTAAATTCTCTTTGTTCTTTCTTTTTTGGGTGGGATGGGAAGATGATGGAAGTAAATGCTGACAAGAAAGATGAAATCAAATTGAATGCATAGACATACGAAATCCTTGAGAAAAACACTTTTACAGATTATATATAAGGAAGAGTTACATACAACTGAACTGCAATGTATTTACATATCTAACACTTAAACTTCAATTTTTACCTACATGCCGCCTTACCTAGCTTGATGTGTATTTCACTTTTATAAAGTTAAAAAGGTGGTATTGATGTGATATGAAAGATTTGGGTGGTATAAATGGAAAACGTAAAGTTCAGGAGTTAAAAATGTAAATACATAGGAAATGAGTGTTATGTATGCAATTGCCCGTATATATAAATGAAATACTATAAGGAAAAATACAATAAGCTCAAGCAAAAAGAGCATTACCAAAAGAAGTTCAATGGCAAGATTAAAAAGAAAAGGTACAGATAGCATTAGGCAACAAAAGGCATATAAAACAAGTAAGCCAAGAGTTTTGCATATTTTTAGGCTGAAATACCAGTGTCTTGGGGAGACGACCAAGTCGAAAATTGTTGATTGTGCCGAATTCCCCATCATGCCATATAGGGAAGGCATTAGTCAACACATTGGTCCGCTTCAGCAGCTCCAGGTGTGCTTGAAAAACTTCTATTTTAGCCAAAATTGCATCTCTCCTGAATGCGAAAAAGATACCACATAGCAATATGAAAACTAGGATTGCTTTTAGAATCACTCAAAATAGCTCTATTCGAACATGAAACCCAAACTTTTTAATGAAATTAATAGAAACTTATAACCTCACCAACGTAGTTCAACTTGCAGGTCAGACTAAAAGCAGATTAACACATTAGTTAGGTAAAAACGTAATATCAGACTCTACAGAAAGAAAATACTTTTAATTCAGCAAAAATGATAAATAAAAAGAGCTTATTGACTTGGGCTGCATGAAATTGCATCCACTGGTGAAGTTAGGATAAAACTATCAAGAAAAAAAAATTACAGAAATGAAAGAAGGTCCTCATAACAAATTACAAAGTATGACAGCCGAATTGCAGCTCTACCAAAGAAGTACATGGCATATTATTAAATAATAATATCACGTTGGAATTTACCTGATGTGACGCCAACTGGAACTGAAAGTTATTATACTCATGCCAATACCTAATAGAGGAAAGTGGAATCAGCATGGCGAGATGAATTCTTTTTACAGCAGTAGATTATACATAACTTATTTTGGAGAATCCCAAACAAGAAAGATATCACAAAAGTGAGTGGCATGGACTGCAATCTAACATATCAATATGAGTTATTTATCATTTAATTCATAAATTACCAGTCCATTGATTCAATGGCAAAACAGAAAAAATTAATTGAACTATTAACAAGATTAGTCCTCCATTCATAAATTACCTTTCCTCTAGATCTCTAAAGAGCTTTGATTTTGATTCTAACTCTGTCTTCTGAGATTTAACTTCAGCAAACTGCCTCTCAGTATCTTCAACTGCAGCTTGCAGCTGTCTCTCTTCGTCCTCAATCTTACAAGAAATTAAGAACAAAAGAAGTTACGAAACTATATTTCATATACATGAAACAAAATCAGAAAAAAAATACAAAATTATTATGTTTTATGACATCATCTAATAACAGGACTATGTGGGGGCAGCTACAGTTGTTTGAAGAGGCGGTTGTGAAGTTGTTGCAGAAAAAGTTGTTCAAAAAGCTTGGGAGGCTATTACATTTTTTTTTCTTTTTGAAAAAATCAGAACGCAACTTTCTAGTAGCCACCGCACTTAGTCACATTAGGCGACAAAAAGCATCTTTCAGCTGCAAACTTTATGAAAAGGCATAAACAGAAAAAACTATGGTCTGATGTCGTACCACCACCAAAGTCTTGCTTGGATTATAGGATGTTGCATCTACCAAAAACAATAAGTGGGTTTTTGGTGCCAAAATTTAAAAATAGAAGGATAAAATGTTTAAATATTACATAGTGGTGAAGTATGTCCGAGAAAAAAAATTTCATACTCTTGCGAAGCATAAATATTATTAAACAAGCTTCTAAGATGTAAGTCTGAGGGATAGCTTTAAGCCTCAGCAAAAATTCCACATTGGCGTGGCCCACAAGCCTCCCCTTTTGGGTGAAAAGATGTTGTAGTACTAAGAAAGTAGAATTCATAAGGCACTATACCTACATCAAGTGATATCGGAGTTAACTCAAACAACAATAGGCAAACAAATATTTAACTACTAAAGTCAATCGGCGATTACAACTGACGCACTTGAAAGGAAAATAACAGCAGACTCAACAATCCAGCTCAAATTTGGGTGAATCTCGGAGTGGTGGTGGTGACCGGTGAGGGGTGGAAGATGGCGGGATGGTGAAGAGGTAAGTGGCAAGCACAAAAAAACAAGGAAACATTTTTCAAGGTTCGGACACCAAATACGTAGCAGATATCGACATTGCACGGTTGTTCGAGATGATGGCAGCAAAGAGGGAGGGCTAGAACATAAGTGGTAGTAAATATGGATGGTGTGGACGCAATGGATAGCTGCAAATTCCCGCGGCGTAATAGGGAGCCGCTCCTGCTTCTGTAATTTTGCTCGTTCAGGCGTGAAGGATAGTCACGATTTCTCATGGTGCAACAGCGGGCAGCTCTTACTCTCACGACTTCATTTGTCTCGACCGAACCGGTCCAGACCCAAGAGTATCAGCCAACTCTTCCACGTGAGTTTGACAACTCCTTTCCATAACAGGATCCAATCCTAGTCATCTAGGGCTTATTTATGTGATTTTTTAGCTTCAGGTTTTCAGTTTTTCAAGTGTTTTGTTCATGACAGTCGTCGGAGTTCGTTCTCCTCTCTTCGAGGGCTATATCTGAGGGATTGGGTGGTGCTCCGGTTGTATCTCTCTCTGGAGGTGGTGATTATCTTCCTCTATCCCCTCTGCATTCATCCACATCGCTCTCGGCCACTCTGTTCCAGCTACAGCCAACGGAACAGTTGTCCTGCAATTTCTTCCTCCAACTTTCTACCTTCCAGATATTGTAGCTTCTTGCCGCACTCTCCCGCAATACCCTGCTTGTTGTTCAGCAGTCTCAATCCAATACCGACTTCTGCCACCACCCCCCCACTGCCTCCCGCTTGCTACCAAACACTGTTCTTTGTTGAACCCTCCCACAGCCCCACTATCGACTCCCGCACCCTGCACCACACGCCGGCTTGTTGTCCGCACGCTCCAACAACCTTTTGTTTGTTGTTCAGCCACCAACCCACCTTCCCTAAACTACCGCAAGCCCTCCCTACCACCTACAAATCTCTGTTTCCACTACCTCAACACAACCCACTGATCCTCATCCTAGAAAATCATGTGTTTATTGTTGCTTTCCTATTTTTAAGTGTTTTGTTGGTAACCCCTTAGAATTTCAAGAATAAAATTATCATTCAGTTGTGGTCTTTAGGTTTAACTCCGATAGCATTTGGTATCAGAGTCAGCATAGCTCTAATCCTATCCTAGGGTTTCTACCATCCACTAATACCCAACCATATTCTCACCTGAAATTTTTCTTTCTCACCCTACATCACCTTTACCTCCTTCCATATAAGTAGACCAAAAACCTAGCCATGCTGCCAAAAAAATAATCATCGAAAGCTTGATCGAGGGAAAAGAACACGATGTCATTTATGGAAATTTACAAAGAGTCCAGGGGATTTCTAAGGAGAATATGTAGAAGGAAACTCCCGCCAACTACAACAGAGACTTGCCACCTTTGAGAGAAGACAATCTGGATGAGTCACCCTTAGTTACAACGATGACTTGTTAGATCGAAGGAATGGAGTGAATCGCACCCAACATACAAATTCCAGGGACGAAGAACCTTTAACTCGAAGAGGTGACCTAAAATATCTCTGAAGCCATAATTTTTAAGTAGATTTGTCATATTTCAATGGGTCACATGGATCTAGACGAGTTCACTCAGTGACTCTGGATCTTAGAATGTGTCTTTGAGTGTTAAGACGTCCCACCGAACGGAATGGTAAAACTAGCACAACAAGTTAATAAAAAGTGCATTATTTTGGTGGCGAAATTTTAAGTACAAACGTCAAAGCGAGAAAAAAATCAAGATCACTATCTGGCCCAAGTTGAAACAGAAGTTGCAGCGCCAGTTTCTACAAGCTCATTAAAGTCTGGATATTTAGAGCCTATCTTAAAAAATGGAGAGACCACATCACCGAGAGGCCACCACATTTTACAATTGGGGCTCAACTTTAGATCTTACAACCAATGTACACCAGGGGAACATCCAAGTTGATGTCGTCTAAGGAGCCACTAGTACCAAATGAAAAATAGATGGAACTAACTAACATTCCCATATTCATCCCCGCTAGAAAGTGTTTCATGTTCCACAGATTTGGGCATATTTAATCAAACTGTAAAATCAGGATAATGATTTGTTTCACCAAGCAGAGCAATGTTGAAAAAATGGGTAAAATGACACAATGGCCACTTAAGAATGTGAGGATACAAAGGAGTACTAGCCCCCAATTGATGAGGAAAAGATGCATATAGTTCCAATTGAGCCAATGAGAAAGACTCCAATAGAAATAGTTGTGATTGTACAGGACAGTCTTGAGTTCGAAGAACCAATATCAAAGGCATGGCAACCCAGATAAAATAAATTAAGACTTACCAGATCTATAGACTCTTTCCTAAGTTGCCTCTACTGAGAGAGGTCCATCATGTCAGAAATAAGGCTCATTTGTGCCCCTTTCGAAAGATTATATGAAGTTATTCGCATATTAGATTTTGTTCAGAAGGGTGTCCACTATCAAAAGTCCCGACAGGAGAGGTCAACCAAAACTTTAAAATTATCTTAGGAGCTTGATAGAGAAGAAAATTTTTCAATGGAATCCAATTCCTATCAAAGAAGAATGTTTCTTCTCAGTGGTTGCTAGTGAAAGTGGCACAACCTGCCACAGATTTCATCTTAGAGTTAATATCTCCTCATATAGTTATTTGTTATATTCTACTGAGCACGAAAAGCGAAGGAGATTTCAAACTTAAGTGCTCGAGAATTACATTACATGAACCTAAATCTACATGCAGCTCCAGCTCAGGACGTTGCCAAAAATGGATGCATATTTATTCTATCAAAATATGTTGTAAAATGTTAATGCCTAAAAGACTGACTTTTCAGTAGATTATGCCAATTTTGATACCTTCATCGAGGCCGACCTGACTACTATGAGGAGACAGAAGCTTCGACGGATGAGTTTGAAGCTCCCCCAACCTCAGGATACTAACGCGGGTGCGAAGGATAGTAGCGGCTTCCCAAGGCATAAAAGGAAGTCGCTCCCTCTCCTGCGATTTCATTTGTTCGAGTGCGAAAGATTGTTGCGGTTTCTCGCGGCGTAACAAGGATTCGCTCCCACTCTCGCGATTTCACTCGTCTAGACTGAATCGGTCTAGACTGGAGAGGAAGGTTTGGTGCCACCTTTCCATGGGGGGATCCAATCCTAGTTATCTAGGACTTATTTATATGATTCCTTTGTTTTAGGTTTTCAATTTTTCGTGTGTTTTGTTTAGGACAGTCATCAGAGTTCATTCTTCTCTCTTCAAGGGCCATATTCGAGGGATTGCGTGGTTCTCCGGTTGTGTCGCTCTCCCGAGGTGGTGATCACCTTCCCCTATTCCTTTTCTACATCCTCCCACATCGCTACCAGCCACTCTGACCTGCTGCAGCCGCCCGAAACAGTTGTCCTACTATTTCTTCCTGTTGCCGCACCCTCCCGCAATCCCCTACTTTTTGACAAGTCGTTGCTTGTTGTCGAACCCTCCACTGCCTCCAGCTTGTTGCTTAGCACCCTTTGTTTGTTGTCGCACCCTCCCACCGCCCCGCTGTCAACCGCCACACCTTGCCAGAGCCCCCTGCTTACTATCCAGTCATCACAACACTTCACCTAAATGATGTCACAGCTCTAGCAACATTTTGTACGATGTCCAGACTCTAATCCACCTTCCCCTTGCTGGCACAAACCCCCCTATCACCTACAGTTCTCTGTCTTTGCTACCTCGACATGTAGCTCACCACCGTTGATTCTCACCCTATAGAGTCTTTTGTGCTTGTGTCGTTAATTTCCAATTTTTAAGTGTCTTTTTTGTAACCCCTTTGAATTTAAACAATAAAATTATCATTCTATAGTATTTTTTGAGTTAGCTCCAGTATCAATTGAGGGCTAGATCAGTGATGGCAGGGGTTATAGCGATCTGGATCAGCAATGGCAGCATGTGGGAGGGTTTGGGACAACAGCTAGGCGACGTTGAAGTGGATCATAATGGCTAGAACAGAGGCTACAAAAAAGTGATTCTCGTTGCTGAAACAACAACGAGGCGGTAAGGGAACTGGATATGAGAGACTGAAACAACAGCCAGCGGTGGGGAAGGCAGCTATAAAGTAGAAACTACAAGATGTTCTAGGTGGCTGCCGCATGGGAGGAGCAGTCAGGAGCGATGTGGTAGGATGCGGAAGGGGATAGA